TCCATATTTGTCACATCTAAACACTGCTGCACGTGATCATGCAAGTCCTAGAGAATCTCCTGTGAATCGCTGGTGCAGTTAGTTGATGAGCGTATTCAGACGTCTCACTCTGTGACATTTGTCAGTTTCTCAGTTTCTCTTTGGCCCAAAGTATCTGTAAGAGAGGATCAGTTTGTGCAGGTGAAAGCTGTCGTACTTTCGGCCGAAAATTGCTACGTGATTCTAACTTGTTTCCCTCTCACGAAAAGGCAAACCGAGTTTTGACAGAAGCCTCACAATATCAGTGACTTGGCAAAAAACTAAAATTCTTCTCAACAGCAGCTCTATGGCTTTCAGAAAGTTTGGCTGCCACAGATCCTGAAGATGCACTCTTTAAAGTTATACCACTTAACCATGCAGTTCAGATGGGCCTGGGAGTTTGCATGTTTGTAAAATTTACTGCTCAGTCTTATTCCAGTCACCTATCTGAATAAATTATCCATGCCACTATCACTCAGATAATGGCGGGATGCAAAAAAGAGCACAGCACCCTCTCTTACCGAATATCCCAGCTTGTGATATGTGGAAAACCATTGTTTAGAAGATGAGATACTTTATTCATCCCTCAAGGGGAAATTCTTTTTACACTCATTTTTTACATGCATTTTAACCCCTGAAACACAACCACCCACACAAAGGGCTCATAGACATGCAATGTGGACAGAGATGGTGGAGTGATGGGCAGCCCTGGAGAGGCTCCCCCTGAGCAATTGGGGGGTTCGGTGCCTTGCTCAAGGGCCCAGCTACCAGTCCACCTTCCATACTTTGGTCCATGCTGGACTTGAATCGGCCACCCTCCGGTTCCCAAGCCAAGTCTCTATGGACTGAGCTACTGCCTTTGTTTTTCGAATAATCTTTGTGGGAAATTCAGGTAAAGCAGGCTGCTTGGGACTGCCGTGTTTTTCACCAAGGTCATCAACCGCTGAAAGGCCCAGCTACGGTTCTGCTGTCTGGTAAACAATAGCTGGGCTCTCTAGTCCAGAGCTAGTGTGTCTGTGTCTTAACACCACACATGTACATGCTCTTGCACTGGTGGTGAATGTTTTTTTGCAGCTGGCCTCTGAGAAATCTCTGAATGTCCATAACTGCTAATTGTAACTGGAAAATACCTAGCTAAATCACAGAATGGACCAAAGAATAGGAACATGTATCAGATGTAGCATATCAAAAGTGCCACATGACTGAGCAAAAATTAATTTAATACAAAACAGCAACACAATAGACTTAAGATTTTGTAATTTATTTACATGACTTAAAATTGAAAATTTAGAAAATATAAAGTATATGAAATAAATATTTTTTTGGACCTATTTTATGTTCAATGTAGTGATACATTTGAGCTGCCAGGGGGGCCTTTCCCTGCTGCCTCCCTGCAAACTCCGCCTGTTTTTTGGTGTCTCTCCCACTTGGAGTCTCTCCTCTCTGGAGTCCCTCCCACCTGGAGTCTCCCCTACCTGCCCTGAATATCTTTCCAATGTCTGGATTAACTTAATCTAACAATTGCAATCAGGTTAAGCATTCACACAAAGATGGTTATCAACTTGGGAAGTCTAACCAGGTTTGCCTGATCAAGATCTGAGTGCGTGCACATAAAACTAGCAGTGTTTACTGCATATGACCAATCACAGACATTGACAAGTGAACTGACAGCAGAGCTGCATATTTCGCAAACAAGTTTCCATCTGTTATATTTTAAAAACATTATCCAGACTAAAAGAACACAGTTGGAGCTGTGGGGAGGTGTCTGGGAGAGCACCTCCACCTGTAAGAGAGGATCAGTCAGTGCAGGTGAGAGCTGTTAGCTGATTGATCCTCAGGTTGAAAAGGCAGCAGTGGATTCGAGACAGAAACAGAGACACACAGAGGACTCAGACTCAGAACTGAGAGACGGACACACGAACAGAGACATGTGTCTCTGGCTGCTGTGGTGAGAGCCCCGTGGCATGGTCAACTGCCACAGGACAGCTGCTAAAAAATCTCTGATTGTGTTAATGTGTAAGTTATGCAGGACAATAATGTGTGGGAATGAGAATTCTTTATGATCAAGACCTGTCGAACTGAAGTGAAGAAGCCTCTTGGATGAAAGATGAAACGTTTCACTTAATCAAATAATTTAGCCTCAATAATGAGCTTTAGTTCAACACACACTGTCTGCACTGACTCTGAAGACACACTGTGGTGGAAACATTTGCAATTTCTAGTCAACAAAAACATATTGGCCTATTTCCATGTGCCATGGCGCAGACTAGCTGGGAAATCCATCTTCTACATCCTAGACGAGAAGGATGGATACTGGCAGATCAAGTTAGATGAGCCATTGTCTAAGCTTTGCACCTTCAACATGCCGTGGGGCCGGTTCCGTTTCCTCAGACTCCCATTCGGGATCAAGTTGGCCAGTGAAATGTTCCAACAGAAGAACTGTGAGACCTTCAGCGACATTCCAGGTGTGTACATCATTGCAGACGACATGATTATAGCAGCGTCATCAGAGCGGGAGCATAATGAAATCCTGCAGAAAGTAATGGAGAGAGCGAACACTGCAAATGTGAAGTTTAACAAAGACAAGATCCAGTTCAAAGTGAACACAGTAAAGTATATGGGACACATCATCACAGCAGCAGGAAAGAGAGCTGACGACACCAAGATCAAAGCAATTGTCGACATGCCAACCCCCAAAGACAAACAAAGTCTCCATCTGCTGGGAATGACAAAATTCTTAGCGCAGTATATACCAAATGAAGCCTCACTCACGGCACCTCTCAGACAGCTGCTTAAGAAGGATGTAGCGTGGCAATGGTGCCCACACCACAGCGCAGCACTATAGACACTGAAGTCTACCCTCACACAAGCCCCTGGGCTGAGGTATTATGATCACAAGCAGCCGCTGACTCTACAAGCTGATTCCTCAAAAGATGGACTGGGAGCCTTTCTGCTGCAGGATGGCCGCCTAGTGTGCTATGCATATATCAAGAGCGCTCACCGACACAGAAAAGAGGTATACACAAATAGAGAAAGAGTTGCAGTCTAATTATAAGCCTTTGGAGGTCATCATGCGCAAGGCACTGAACAAAGCACCAGCGCAGAGTGAAGAAACACTCAGCCAACTGAAAACGGCAATGACAGCAAATAGCCTGTTACAAGCTGTGTGTGAGAAACACGTGAAAGGCTGGCCTATGAAAAAGAAAAGTCTGGACAGGAAACTTCACAGCTACTGCAAAATCATTATACCCAAGATCTTCAGGAGCGTGATTTTGGAGAAGCTGCATCTTGCTCACCAAGGAGTGCAGCTTACAAAAGCCAAAGCAAGAAAAGTCCTATACTGGCCTGGTATGACAAGAGACATAGAGACAATGGTGGAGAAGTGAGTGCAGTGCCAGCAGCTACAGCCCAAACACCAGGGTGAGCCACTCATCCCACATCAGGTTCCTGAGCTGCCATGGATGAAAGTTGGAGCAGACATCTTCGAGCTACATGGTCAGTCGTACCTGTTGTTAGTAGATTACCTGACAAAATATCCTGAAGTGCTCAACCTGTCTGATAAAACAGTTTACACAGTGATTCAAAAGATGAAGTCTGTCTTTGCCAGACACGGGATTCCTAGGGAGATGGTGAGTGATCATGTCCCATTTGCCAGCTATGAGATGCAGTCATTTGCAGCTTCATGGGAGTTTAAGCTCACACACTCCAGCCCAGGTTTTCCCTCTTCAAATGGAAGGGTAGAGCAGCCCATAAAGACTGTAAAATGTGCACGCTTCCATGTTCCAGTGCTGTGCTGAAACAGTCTGCCCCACAGCATATTCACAACAAAATACAGGACTTGCACTCCCGCCAAAAGCAAGCTACGACCAGCGTGCAAAGCCACTGCCAGTGTTGACCCCAGGAGACATGGTACACATGCAGACACGACGCGGCTGGGAGCCTGTGATTGTGATCAGACAGCGAGATGAACCATGCTCCTACACTGTGCATACACCGGCAGGGAGGATACAAAGGAGGAACAGGCGCAGCTGAGAAAGATACACCCGAGCTTGTTCAGAGACACTTACCTTGATGAACATTTGGACTCCGAGGTGCAACCTTCTCAGACACCTCTGTCATTTGACTCACCACCACTGGACCCGGCACCACACAACCCTCCTTTTGTGACTATGGACAGCACACCAACATGCTACACCAGGAGAGTGGTTATATGCCCTGCCAGGTACAGTGACTGACATCATGGACATTTAATGCTATCACTCACTTAGTGTGTCTTAAAAAAAAAGAGAGACAAAGAATAAGGAGTGCTTGACTTGAAATGTTTGAAAATGTTGAATGTTCAAAATGTATACATGATTTACCCAACAGAATGCTTAACAGGAAAGATTGATGAAAGCCATTTGGTTATTTGAAACAAGCTTTATTGATAGTTGAAATATGCATGTAGAAAAGGTTTGATGATGTATGTTGATGCCTTAGAGTTAATGGTTACTAATGAGTTAATGGTTGAGGTAACTGATACGTAGGCTGCTTCTCAGTTGGAAAAGAGGGATGTAGTAGTTCGGATCGAGCACTCGGTGCTTGACTGTGTTGAACTGTCACTACTGCTGTGATCAGTGATCGACTATGCATGTCTGTGAGTGGTATGACTTGAGCGCCAGTAAAGCTCAGCTCGTACTGCATCCTTGCCTCCGTGTGTATTATATGATTGAGTTAGTAACCCACGAGTAATAGTACTACAAAAGTCTACATTACATAAAGCCACAACAGAATCCAAGTCTGCAATTCCTATCCCAGGTTCTGTAACTTTAAAATTCAGGAAACTCTTTATTCTTTGGTGCTGTCTAATGCTGTCCTCTGCATTGGACACATCTAAAGTTCCTCAAAGAGATCTGAACGCTGTACAGAAAAGATGCAACCTCAGTGTGTCAATTTTCAGCCTGTAAAATCATTGAAGTTGTATTCTCTCTCATGTCCTGCAGGGTGCTATCATCAAACAAGACTCCATCTTGGAGCTGCTGCGACAGGACACCATGGTGCCAGCTGTAGGAGGAGTATGGCGCCCCCTCTGGCAAGATGGTGGAAATCGGGAGGGCAGTGTGGGATCAACCATTGGGGAGCTGACTCTTTTACAGAGACAACACAGCCTGCTGCAGGAAGAACTGCTTAGGCTGCGGGATGCCGAGAACCGGTTTAAGGACAGTGAGAAGGCCCGGGCAAAGCTAGAGAGACAAGTACGAAACATGAGGGTTTGCAACAGGGCTGCACCTGACTCCGAGCAGCTGGAGGAGCAGGCTTCTCAAGTAAGTTCCATAAAATTAATGGACCAATAAGGGATACTATCAGGAGGCTGATTTAGGCCAATATTTTGTATCTGATCAGTTCCCAAACTGCAACTTATTATCTGTTGTTTCATGACTCACACCCTGTCTAGTAAACACATTTGTCTGTCAAACTCCACAATCCCACTTTGTATCCAGATTATTTTGTTAAAATATTCTCAGTCCCAAACTGAGAGAGAGCTGTAATAATAACATGTTAATTTAATCAGGGCTTATTCTGTCAGAGAAAATCAAGAACCACCACAAGACCTTGTACAACCATAAAATGTTAACTGATTTTGGTATGTAAAATTGGGTGCTTCTGTTAAGTAAGTACTATGCTAAAGAATTATAAATTTAACATTCATTAGCAGGTTTATTGCACAGTACATGGTGGCACTTCAACATGCTGTTTCATCTTTTCTTGCTATTGTAGCCTGCATCTCTTCAACCAGAAAGGGAGGTCATAGCTGACACCCCACGGGCCAGAGCGGAGCCAATCCACCCATCAGATGGTGTACAGGATGAAAGTGATTTGGAGGTAGACATGACATCGGACGATGATGATGGGACAGCATCTGCAAGCTCTTAAGGTCTGATTATAGTCAAGACAAATACTTACATGCATGTATATCGTATTTTTTACATAAAGGTTCCTCTGTCGTTAATCACCCTGGAAGCTATAATTAGGTTTGGCAAGCAGGTGTGGCACATTCTGTTAATATAAAATCTCCAATTTCAATATTACTAACTGTGAAGTAATTATGTGTAAGAACTGACCAACTGTTGAATTACTGCCAAGAAATAGGGATGATGTCCACTCCTTTTATCTTGTTACATCAATAGGGGGATAATGATTTACACACACCTTGCAGTCTGATCGTAACTGTTGTTAGTTGTTGTTTGTTTTCTTTGCTTATTGTAAGACTTACAGATGATTTTGCACCAGTCTGCCCTCTCAGTCCGCTCCTCTTTGCCTTAGCATTGGAACAGTTAGCTGAAACTATCCGACTGCATAACGATGTAAAGGGAATAACAATAGGACATAAGGAAAACAAAATTGCCTTATACGCGGATGATATCCTTGTGTTTCTGTCCTCCCCTCAGTTATCAATTTCTGCAATTATGGATATTTTTAATAAGTTTAGTAACATATCGGGCTATAAAATAAATTTTAATTAATCTGAAGCTATGCCACTGGGAAGCCTAAATACTATGGATGTTCAAGAGAGTTTTCCTTTTAGATGGGGGTAAAAGTGTCCTCAGACCTGAGAGATCTGCGAAAATTAAATTTTGCCCCTCAGTCGAAAGAGACCTGGAGCAATGGCAGAACCTACCCCTTTCCCTGTTTGGTCAAATCAGTCCAATCAAGATGAATGTGTTCCCTCGACTTTTATACCCTTTGCAAATACTCCCTTTCTATCTACCAAAGAAAATCATTCTAGACTTAGAGAAGACATTCTCCAAATGTATTTGGCAAGGCAGAAAACCTAGGCAGAGGCTAAAGATATTACAATTACCTGCAGACATGGGTGGTCTTTCTATGCCTAATATGTTGTTTTACAACTGGGCCTGTCATGCACGCCACTTCTGGCTTTGGTTACATTCATATATTAGCAGAGAGACCTGTATTGATTCCTGGGCCTGTCACCCTCATTCCCTATGGAGATAATCACATGTGAGGCAAAGAAGATAAATCCAGAAGTGAAACGCAATCTTATCATTTACAACAGTATCAGGATATGGCATGACATATCCAAATACCTGGGAAGAAAAAATGTGTCTCTACTGTCTCCCATAATCCAAAATCCTGACTTCCCTGCAGGTGTCAGCTCACACATGTTCCTCTCTTGGAGGGACATGGGAATTCATGTTTTCGGCGATTTTGTTAGAGATAATACCTTACTGTCCTTCCAGCAGTTACAGGAGGCATTTAATATTCCTAAGCACCATTTTTTGGGGTATTTACAGATTAGGCATTTTGTGTCCTCACAGTCCACTTCTTTCTCTACTAACATCTCTTACAGTGAGGTTGAAAGTTTTCTTCTAAAGTGCAAAGACAGAAAACATTTTATTGCAGCATTTTACTCACTTCTTAGTTCTTCTGTCACATACAACTTACCGGACATCTCTCATAAATGGGAAACCGATTTGAATAATGAATATATTGAGGATGATTGGCAGGCAACTATATGCCTGATCAGATCTGCATCTACCTGTAACCGGTTGAGAGAGACTCAGTACAAGATACTTCATACTTCAGACTTCATACTCTCCCGCTATTTTAAACAAAATTGATCACTCCATTTCTCCTCTGTGTACCAAGTGAAACTTAGAAAGGGGGACGTAGTTCCATTATTTTTGGGAATGTAAACTTATCTCCAGATTTTGGACACTTATTTCAAAGACGGTCAATGGGATATTTAAAATAAAAATTAAGAAAGACCCTGGGGTTTTCCTCCTAGGCCTTACCTCTAGAGACTTACATCTCACCGCATTACATTATAAGCTCCTTGACAAACTCCTTCTAGTTGCTCGAAAGTGTATACTGCAAAACTGGATCATAACTCTTCCACCTAGTGTTACCCTATGGTACAGGGAGATCTTTAATATCCTCCCTCATGAAAGGTTACAAGCTGTTGTAAGGACGAATTATTTTTTAAAGTTTGGACTCCCTTCTTAGATTATATACCTGCGGATCTGAAAAATCTATTATTGATGGGCAGACAGTTTTCTGAATGGAAGAAAGCTTCCCCTTGTAACTCTCAAATTCTGAGACACGGAGTATAATGGGCTGCAGATGACTGGTGTTTTTTTTTTGTTTTTTTTAAATATTTATTTAAGGATTTTTTATGAACGGGATTCAGTATTACTGTATTGGTCACTATGATTTTTTTTTGTTTGGTTTTTTTGTTTGTTTGTTTGTCTATATAAGTCTGTAACTCTGTATGGCATGTGCTGTCTGATGGGTCGGGGTAGGGGGTCTTGTTTCTGTATTTTGTATGTTTAAAAACAATAAAATGTGTTTGAAAAAAAACAAGACAAAAAAAACAAACAAAATGAATGTCCAATGTGAGAACACAGCAGGTGTGTGTGTGCTTTCTCACTCTCTCTGAGTGTGTATCTTTCTGTGTATAATTTCAGATTTTCTGAAAGGGCTGGCAAATGCAAGCAGCTGTACCAAAACAATTACAATAATAACAAGACTGCAATGTGTGTAAGCTCTGAAAACATGATATTTTGTTAATACATCGTACTGTTGTGTTGTAAAATTTGTCTAATTATAGAATCAAGACACCAATGAAATACCATGGTCTTGTCACTTTTGGGGAACAGGACTAAATTGTTATCTGCATTTTGTTTTTCAGATCTTCAAGATATTCCAGAGGACATCTGATTGTCTAAATATTTCACATGGCTGATCAGGTTATATGGATTTTGATGTAACCTGATTGACTTCAAAAATGTGTATCTTATAGTCTTAATATTTATTTAGCTGCTTTTGAGTGGATGGCATGTGGCAGTGAATTGTTTGATTTAAAATGTTTATGCTTTGGATGTTTCCATGATTTAATCACTTGACTAAAGGGTGTGGAAAATAGATTGATATTTCTTATATGCATGTAACAATTAAATCTCAAGTTTTGACAAGGTCTGATGGTTAGGGTGTATTGCTAATCTTCAATTACTTTACATAGTAGAAGTTAAATATCCACTTTTTTTCATCATTATTTTTTTCTCCAAAATATCTAGGAATTTAGTCGTAACTTGTTTATATTGAAATAAACAAATTTATGAAAATTGGACATGACAAATGGAATCACACCTTTGTGGTTTACATCAGAGTTTTGGTGGGTGGCATCAAGCAGTTCCAGGGGTCAATGAATGAGCAGAATAGCCTGAATGGGTGTGATTTGTTTAGAGTTCCAAGATACAATAGTTTAAGCAAATATTACTGATTTCCATTATTTCCACTGGTGTGAAATTAATGAATGCCCCTAGACATACAGTTTAATTGTGTATTTGAATGTGAATTTGGTGTTGTCTAAAGCTATGTCAGCAATATTAGGCTACATTTACTCAATTGAGTGTCTATTGGATCATATAATATCACAATTCACATCCAGAAATTAAGATAAATTAGAGTGGGCACATTCTTCTAAGCTTTGTCTGACGGGAGGTCCACAGTACAGAACAGAGTAAAACCTGTGCAATATCGCAACAATGGTATCATTTTTCAGTTAATTAAAAAGCAAAGTTTTTTGGACTACAAAAATTTGACCCCAAGTACAACCTCAATGCAACAAAACAGGAGTACATCTGTAATCAGGTGAAGTCAGTTGACCTGCTGAGCAGAAAACAGCAGACTGACAAAATTACAGTGCATTCTGAATTTTCTTTCCCTCAAGACAAAACTCAATATCCCAAAATTACAAAGCAAAAATGCAATGTTGGGAATTTTCAAGATGGGAAAGATGAAATCTCACATTGACATAAGTATTCAGACTCCTGGTGCGATCCCAGTCTTTTCCATTACCCCAAATTACCCCCTGATGGCTGTGCTTGATCTCAAAAATAAATCGAGACCATTTGTTCCCTTCTGTATTTAGATTAAACATTTTTGCAGTAGTAACCTCTTGAGTTTGACGTGACAACCTTTGCACACTTTGTTTTGAGGATTTTGAGTCTTTCTTCTCTCAAAATCTGTTAGGTGTACATTGATGCTTAGCCATGTTCATGTCTCTCCAGACATGTTCAAGTCAGGGATTTAGTTTAGGCTGTCACAATATCAGATTTTCATTTGGAAATTATGCTCAAAATACTACAACATATTACTAGTATTGTGGAGATACTGTAGATGATTTCACTGATGGCCAGAGTGATAAAAAATAGACAATATTTTCCATAATTTCTTTAAATTACTAATATTATTCATAGTTGTATTATTAATGTATAAATAAATTAAATTTGGCCTACTTTAGTTTCTAATTTGCAACACCACAACACTTCAAAACTACACACACACATACACACACACACACACACAGACGCATACTCACACTCAAAGACATCAGACAATCCTGCTTGATTTTTATCTTTTGGTTGTAAATAAAACTTTCATTAATAAATCCAAATGACAGTCAATGAGAGAGCAAAATAAGAGTTTTGCTCCTCTAAGATGGCTGACTGCAAGTAAAAGAAGAAAGAATTAGTGTTTAGAGTTTGGCAGCAGCTGCGTGGTTGGCTGGATGGTGGTAGAATCTTATTGACCAATAAAAAACACCCACAATCAGCTGATTAATAAACAGAGGGAGAGAGAGAGAAAGAGTGACTGAATGTGGGAAAGTCTGCCTGATCGAACATAAGCTGAGCATCATTTCAATCAGGTGATTTCAAACAGTTGAAAAAACATTGAATTGCCATGAACAACAAAGAACGTGATGGTAAATGTCTTTTGGCATTTAGACTTCAATGTGATTGTGGTAAAGTCCAATGCCAACTGCTGCCTTTTGAATCCAGGGAGAGTTGATTGGCCAACTTGTCTCAGCTGTGCCAATCACCTCTCCCTGGAATGAGAAACAATTAACAATGAGGCTGGTAATGCGTCTGATTTTTAAATACAGTGGAAATCGTTTATAGCGATCACGTCTGTCTGGGGTCAAATTGATCACAATAGGCAAATTATTACTTTAAGTTCTTCAGAATGTGCTGTACTTCTCATTCAGATATCGATGACATCTGTACAAAAAAGACTTTAACACAGGGACACTGCCATCAGTTGCAATCCGCTGCTCAAACTGTTCGGTGCTAAGCTCAACAGGTGGATCAACTGCTGTCGGACCCTCCTCTGGTGAAATGACCAGGCCATGTTTCCTCTAGCAATTTCTTATTGGGGATGCCTCCACATCAGCCCAGGCATCCCTAAGCATGAGGACAGCATCCAAGAAGTTGACTTTTTGGCAATGTCTACAGCAGTAGTTCTGGTCCCCTTATCAATTTGGTGCAGCACACTGCTGGCCATCTCTTTGCGAAAGTAAGCTTTAGCTGTCCTGATCCCCTGGTCACTTGGCTGGAGAATGAAGGTTGTGTGCTTTGCCAGGAACTCAAATCGGATGTTTCCTGAACAAGCAGCAGAATGTTCTTGTCCTCTTGGCCCAATTTCTATTAACCACTCAATCAATCAAATTGTATTAGGGCAGACGTGCAATAGATACCACAGTTAGATAAAAAATAACAATATTTACAACATTGATTAGAAGAAACAGTTTACAACATGATTGAACAATGAAAAGTGAGGGAAATGGAGAGGGAGAGGGAAGATGAGGGGTGAATCTACTAGAGGCAAAGGGAATTGGGAAAGCCGATAGACTTAGCTTGTATGGTTCAACCAGGACAGAGGGAATCACGGTCCAAATCCAAGCAGGTTCCAGGGATCAGCTCCTTTGCCTCTTGGTCCAGGACAATTGTGAAATATTTCCAGCCGGTTCTTGGATCAACTTCCCAGAAACTAGAATCTATTTTCATCCGTAACTCTCACTCCTCAGTTCTCTTCCATGCTATCTTTGTTTGAGTTTCCCTCTCTTTTTTAGCTCATAGGTGTGTCCAACTTATCATATCCCTTGCCCCTCCTTTTCCTGTAAAGGGCCATTCTTTCTTTCTAGTTTTCTCCTTACTGCTTCACCACGATCGCGATCCACCACCACAATCAGATTCCACTATCATGTTTTCAATGTTTAAATGCAATCTGCCTCGCAAGCCAGAGGGCAGACGAGCTACCGCGTAAGATAATGTATGGTTTAATCAAATAAAATAAAATTACATTGTTTTTCTTGTTTGCTTGATTCCACATGTTTTCATGTATGAAAAAAAAGAACACTGTAGGCAGACTACTTGATTACTATAAACTGATTAAACAGTAAACAGCATTTGTATAGGAATGATTCTATACAGACGGTTTCCACTGCATTTATCCATTGAGACAGGACATGTCTGATTTTTTTTTATATTATGTAAGCGAAAGAAGGCAGTCCTAGAAATGTGTTTTAAGTGAGAATTAAAAGACAAATCGGAATCAAAGCTAACTCACTGCAAGCAAGGGCCATGTCATCTAGCACAGCTATATCATTAGATAATGTATCTCTTAGGTTCTTTAGGGCTGAGTATTAGAACCTCTGTTTTATCTGAGTTTAATTCAAGAAAATTGCAGGTCAGTCAGGTGTTTATGTCCTTGAGACTCTGGTTTTATTGATAGGTATAACTGGGAGACATCCACAAAGCAGTGGAAATTTACAGAGTGTGTCCTAAAAATGTTTCCTAGTGGAAGCATATACTGTATAATGTGAGGAACACCGTGGTTAACTTTGGTGCGCACAGATGACTAATCATTAATTTGAAATCAATCTGAAAAGTAGGATTTAAACCAGTTTAGGACGGTTCCTTGAACTCCAATTAACTGTTCTAGTCTCTGTAATAATATTTGATGAAGGTCATTAGTGTCGAATGCTGCACTAAGGTCTAACAGAACAAGGACAGACACATAGCCTTGATCTGAAGCTATTAGAAGGTCATTAGTGACTTTTGCCAAGGCTGTCTCTGTGCTGTGATGAGCTCTAAATCCCAACTGAAAGTCTTCATATACATTACCGTCCTGGAGAAACTCACACAGCTGATTGGTAACAATTTTCTCTAGGATTTTAGACAGGAAGGGGAGGTTGGATATTGGTTTGAGGTTGGCTAAAACCTCTGGGTCCAGAGAGGATTTTTTGAGAAGGGGTTTAATTACGGATAGCTTAAAGGACTGTGGTACATATCCTGATGATAATGATAGATTGATTATATTCATTTAAGTTCTATTTATTAGGGGCAGAACTTCTTCAAGCAAATGTGTAGGAATGGGATTTAAGAGATAAATTGTGGGCTTAGATGATGATATTATAAGACGAGATGCTTTTGCAACCGATTGGACACTTTTTATCACTTTTAACCGCACTTCGGTRTCTTCGGATCACTGGAAGCATGCCGGCAACACACGCCGGSATTGTTTACACCCGCGACCAGCTGATGGCCCTGAGGCACACCCCCCTCTTGGCCGGAGAGAGACCCACCATCCCGGAGGAGCTAAAGAAGAGACGAAGAGGCTGTAGAGCGGGGCTTAAACGGAGGATGGCGAAGAGGAAGTTTAAGCCCTTCATCCCTGCAGT